AGTTAATATCGAATTAATATAGCTTATTAGTTTTCTATAAGAATTTAAGGCGTTTATTAGGTTCTAATTTTAATTATTTCTTTAAATTCTTTAAAGTATAAAGCGTATTCTTTAATTATAGTATTCTCCCTTAGTAGTAAGGGTAGTAGTATAAGTTCGTTCTTATCTTCCGTTTCTTTAGGTATTTCTTATTCTTTAAAGCTTATATCGTCGATACTTCGTTATTCCTCCTTAGGTTATTATCCGAGTTTCGTAAGTATAAGGGCTATATCTATATCTTCTTTATTATATTATTTATAGACTGCCTATCGTTATTATCGATTTTTATTTTATATATCTTCTTAGAATTATTTACTATTTTTCTTAATCTAGTCTTAAGAGACTCCTTTAAGATAGGGGTATTTTAGTTCTACGAATTTAACTTACTTCTATATTTTAAGATCCCTTCGTTATATTATTATAAGGGTTTTCTTTAGTAACTTTAAGAACTATCTAGTACTATTTTTATCGCTTAAGTATACTATATATTTATCGTTATAGTATATAGTCTAACTAAGGAGTTTATACTTTAGTTCCTATTTATTAGTAGCGTTTAGGTATTTCTTACTTTTTAAGGCTAGTACTTAATAGGTTTTCTTCTCCTTATAAGGTTATCTATATTCTTTAAAGTAATATCTAAGTTTCCTATAGTTAAAACACTTTCCTTTACTTTTTTATATTATATCTAGATCTATCTTACCTAGGTTAGTTATATAGGCATAGGTAATAGGAGTTTCGCGCTTCTTTTTATAGTTAGCGCGTTAGCTAAAGTTATTTCTATAAAAAGGGTTCTAGTTTCCTTTTCTTTATTTCTTTTCTTAGCGTCGCGTATACTATCTATCGTCGATTCGTACTACTATAGTAATATAGTCTAAGAGGTTATTAGGTCGATTTCCTTATAGAGCTCGTCCTTAACTTCTTCTTTAAGCCTATCGTAGAATCGTAATATAAGGGGTTCGTTATCCTAATTAAGCTTTAAGGTAACTTAATAGAACTTCGTAGTATAATCTAATACTAAGATCCTTTATTAGAGTTCTTAGAGTTTCTATTTAGCTTCTCGTTCCTTATTAGTTATTCTAAATACTTTTGTAATAGCTTCTTTAAATCCTTAGAAACTAGTAAAGACTTTGTCTATCTTATTATCTTATCGCGCTAGTTAGTTATCGAGAAAGTCCCTTATAATAGGTCTAAACTAAGTAAGTACCGTTCTAGATAAATAATTTCCTATATAAAGTACCTTTTCGACTAGGTCTAAGAGTTTAGTAGGGTAAAACCGGTAGTAGGCCTTAAGTTAGGTAAGAAAGTCTCGAAGCGTACTATAAGTACCGTTAAATAGTCCTAGCTATTTTAGTTTAACTGCTTTTCTAAGGTCCTTAACTTATCTATTGCCTCCTTTATTCCTAAGTAACTATACCTTATATTAAAGGGCGATAATTTCGCGTATTATATCCTAAGGCGATATAGTAGCTCTAGAGTTAGTTAATCTAGCTTACTATATAGGTATATTAATAATTACGATATTGCTTAGAGTAACGCGGTATTATACTAAATAAGAGCTTTTAACGTATAATAACTAGTATTATTCCTAAGGGATAAACCTATCGAGGGGTTTATATTAGTAGATATAATAAGGCGTAGTCTAAGCAATAATAAGTATATTACGTTAGTAATAAGTTAGAGGTCGTAGACTATAGACTATAACTAGGTAATTAAAATTAAAAATAGAATCGTAATAAAGATCTATATTAAAAGCTAGAGAGCTATCTATCTAAAGGAGTAAAAGTAGGTAGCTATATATACCTATAGAGACTGTCCTTAGATTACGGTCTTAGCCGTAATCCCCTTCGTAGCTTACTATAGCTTACTCGTAAGCTATGCTCCTAAGTAGTGATCTATCTATATAAGGCTTACTTAGCTCACGTACGCTCTAGGTGAGCTAAGCCTGAGTGACTTCTCGTCCCGACTATTGTTCCGAGCCGCCTTGTTACGTGAACGTGGCCGGCTCTCCTACGGCCCGCTGACCGTGGTCGTAATATAGCCGTTGCCGGTATATCCGTCTTATCTCTCGCTACCTCTATAGGAAGCTATCGCTACTTCTACTTCCCCTTATACCCCTACCCTCCTTTCTGCACCTATTTTTAGCTCCTTTTTCCTTCTTCTATACCGGGTGTTTTTAGCTTCCTTAGTCCCTCTTACTAAGGGATATCTCTAAGAACTACGAAATTAGGCTACGCTTCGCGATAGTAGTAAGTCTTCTTTATATATAAAGATAGGGTTAACCGTTAATATTATATTCGTCTTATCTTCTAGCTAGCTAAGGAGGCAAGGCTATAATAATAACTCTATAGCCTCTCTACTTATATATATAACTAACGTTATATAAGCTATAAGGGGGGCAGCTAAGGGGATAGATCTAAAGGATTAGTATAATTCCTATACTAATAATATATCTTTTAATATAATAGTATATTAACGATCTATTTATAGCTAAATAAAAGACTATAACTATTTAATTAAGCAGAGTTTAGGCCGTCCGCTATAATGTCTTCGCCTTTGCTTTTGCCGCAGACCCCAATGCTTTTACTTCCGGCCGCAAGATGGCGCGGGATTGCATTCGCTCTTCAGATTGATGGATAGGGTATCTGTGAGGAAACCACTATGTTGTGCAGGCAAAAGTGAAGTGACACTCCAACAGAACAGATGACCTGGCAGTGGACCCTATATGCCATGGAGGTGCTGGTGGCAGCTGACAATGTCAAGCTGGTAATATACCGCTACATCATGCAAAATAGGGGCACCCCCATTGGAGGTGCTATTATTATAATAACGCGTATTATACGTCCTTCTCTGCTCTGACAGTATCGTTCTGTGCTTGCGGGTCTTTTAGAGGCGTGCCTCTGGACGGTGGCTTGCTTTATTGCAGCATCAAAATAGTTCAGGGGTTGTCTAGCTAGCTACCTGGCCACCTAAAAATGGGAGGAGACAGACAAGTTCACAGTCTTCAAAGGACACTGGGTACACCAACAAAAAGAGTTGTTGTCTCTGCTAAGTTGGCTTGACTACTACGAAAAGCGGGGCGGCCGGTCGGGTTACCAGGGGGGGGGGGGATGGTCAGCTTGACCACATACTCTGTTGAGACGTGCCCCCTATATGCTTGAGTTTGACTACCCTGCACAGCTGTCAACTCGGACTAGTAGTGTTAACATACATCCTTGAACAGGGGGGTTGTAGGCGGAGTTCCCTAACGTCTTTGGGTGAGCCTTAGTTTGAATAGGTCAACAAAATGATGATTTGAATATATATCGCTGACTTGAGCATACACAGGTACATGCGGCTACAGCTACCAGCATCAATCCGATCCCACTGGCAGCAATCGGCCTGCCAGTTCAAGTCAATGCGGGATTGGATGTCCGGCTCGATGTATTGTTCGATAGCGATTCAGCAGGATCGTCGAGCTCTGCCGACATGACTGTGTTGTGCAGAGCCATACAGCAACGGATTGAGAATCTGCAGCAAACACAAAGGGGGCAATCAGGCGTCATCATCTTGGCCCGCCCGTTAAATGCCGATACTGGCCGCCAGTGATGATTTCTTGCTCTCACGACACATGGACAACCCGGGCAAAAGTGAGCTTGCCGTTTGGAATTTGCCGATAATGGGACGAGAGAAAAGGGTCGTGCTGGTGAAAACAAACATGGCTTGATCATGGCCATTCGTTGCTTCGGATCCATCCACCCACACCAAGCCTCCTGGAACTTTGTGCCGCTGGGCTATATTGAGTCGGGAGCTACCGAGACTACCGAGACCAATCACGTAAGACAATTTGGATCCCACGTCGACGTGCTCGCAAGCCTCTGAGAATCAGTGGCCCTGAGTTGCCCCATGGCCGCCAAACGTCAAGGAGGCGCTCGTGTTTGTGCCATGTGGGCCCCCGAATGTAGTCTCCCCAAGTCATGTATGGCAGCCAAGCTTAGGCGGGCGGGTTTGAATCCTGTGAAGAACTTGGCTGAAGATTCGTCGACCGCGACCGCCTTTTGGTTGCTTCATTTGCTCGTCGTCGACAGCCGGCGACTGTATTCTGGACACAATATGACGGAAGCGCCGAGGGATAGGCTACCTATGCTTAGGGGGCTCGCAAGGTCGCTGGCACGCTGATTCTTGCCTAGGGTCTCTGACACGCAGAGCCCATCATGTCGGTAATCTGATGGCAAGTCAAACTGATCAGCATATTGGGACGCGAATGAAGCATTGCCGTCTTGCGCACACGCCTTCAACGTTTGGATCGCCACTGAAGAGAGACTGGTGCACACAGTCCGCGATACAAGGGCAAGCCACCTGTCCTTGCATGTCGCCGATATTCTCCTTTTAACTCCGACCGAGCCGTTGCATCGGCGGGGCTGAGCAGGAGCCGTCTCTTGGCAGCCCTCGTGGCAGAGTCGACATGGGGGACCCATGGACTCATCAGGAACGAAACAAGCAAATTATGCTTGCCATCGAGCTCTCGATGGGAGCTCGGAGGAACGACCCACCATGCGAGGAATGGCATTGGTGAGCCTGTTGTAGCACCGTTGCATCCTCCTTTCAAATCAGGTTGGAGTCGGCCAGCGGACGTCCAGCGATGGGGACCTTTAAAAGCAAGACCCGGAAACCAGGAGGTCACCAATCGAAAGGCGAAGGAGGACCTCGCCAAATGTCGAGCTGGCTGTAGTCTCGGACAGACAGGGCCGGCGGGTCAAACTCCGGTGTCTGGAAGTGCCGTAACGTGCAATGAGGCCCATCGCCATCACCCAGGATGGATGGGTAAAAGCACAAAAAAACCGCGCGACCAGTAGTTCGACGGGCCTTCACACTGATTGAGGCTGCGCAATAGGGTGAGCCCTCGGCAAGGGCATGACGCGTCGACGAAGTGAGTTCCGGGCTGTCATAGCTTCTAGACAAACGCTGCAACCCGTGTCATATTCTCAGATCAGAGAACTGCTGTCGCATACCCTTGCACCCAGCTGCGTCACGAACATCCACGCCGCGCGTGTGAGGTCTGGGGTGATGTCGCCCGCCTTGACTACTTTGAGTCTCGACTGTGCCAGCACAAAAGCTCCACATGATATCTGGACGACTCGTACGCTGGGGTGGAACAAATTCATGGCAAGATGGTGGTCGACGTATCGAGCCAAGGCCTCGGTGAAGGGGTGTTTGGGCTGCTCCCGGCCGTGTCGCCAAGCCCATCCGTCGTCTGCATTGCCTCCGGCCAGCCTCCGGCGTTCGCGCGGGTCGTGTTCCCACGGAGCTGTAACGGTCACCTGACGCGAGCCGTCCGCCTGCCCAGCTCGTAAAAAGCGGCCGAGATCAGAGGGTGAGATGGCAATCTCCAGAGTCCTCAGCCCGGGCTCTGTTGCCTGGTCGCTTTCAGCCTCGGGGTCCGGGTTTGGAGCCGCTGAGCTCCCGGCCGCTCTCACAGGCGCATTGAAAGCCAGGGTCATGACAAAGTCGGAGCCCTTGCTGGGGATGCCCGCCGAGCTGATCCAGCCTTCCCACACGTTGATGAGTGTCTTGGTACCCAGCGTAAGCTTGCTCACCCGGCAGTCAAACATCGTCGATAGCCATTCACCGATGACTGTTTTGAGCCCATGTGGCATCCGTAGCAGCAAAAGCGGCAGGTTGATGAACTGCTTTTGATCGAATTGGGTCTTGCTCATCGTGTTGGTGAGACTGGTTGCCCATGAGGGACGCTGGCCGTCGGCCGATTCGGCCAAGCTTGGCAGCAGCAGCGCCGCGTAGGCAGAATTTTCATGGCATATTTCGACCCAGAGGCCTGCCTCTACTTCTTCCGAGTCCAGGGACGGTGTTTCGCCCAAGATGGTCTGCGGCTGGAACCGACGAATCTTGACAGTCCGCAGCGGGCCTAGTTGACCAATTGGCGTCTCGGTAGACTCGATGCCAACTTGGATGCCGCGCACGACGTCTCCAACTAGCGTGTCGCGCAGTCGACGCGCCAGAAGCTCAAGCCGTGATGTCGTGAGGCCTTGGGGGCCGACGAATAGTGGCGAAACTCGATGCGTTGAAAAGGTGGTATTGAAGAATGGCGGAGTAGCTTGGATGGCGTCGAGAGTCGATGGACCGTTGGGAGCCACGGTTGCAGCGTGCGCTGGAGATTTGCGCGGTGCCATAGCCTCTCGACTCAAGAAGAGAAGCAAATCTGAGTGTCTCGTGGTTGGCCCTTTGTGGCAGCCGTGGCGCGTCTCGGTCACCGCGGCGCGGGGCTCAAAACTGAAACAGCACTCGAGCGCGATATAAAGGTCAGATGCGCGAGCTGCTGCTGTGGAGAAGAGTTGTGCCCGATCAAGTGCATCAGGCGATAGACCGAGGATGGCGCTTCATCGCCAGTCTTCAAAAGCGACAGTGTGGCGGTCGCTGACTAAGCACAAACATGGACACGCGGAAGCTCTTGGAACTGAATCAGGTCCAAGGATCGGACTCATGGTTGAAATTGAGCTACGACAAAGTCCTGGACTTGTTCTATCTTTCGACCGTCCAGTATCCCCGGCTCGCTTCATGATCTCACCCTATGCAGCATGAGCAACACTCTATGCAGCGTAGGGAAATAAATGGACCGTCGGTGCGCCTATGACTAATTTAAAAGCTCGATAACGTCCAGTATGGGAGTGTCAAATTGGAAGCTTTCCTATGAAAAGGACTTGAATGATTGTCTCCCATCTTCATGCTGCATACCCTGTGCTGCTGCTGCCACTCAGTTGACGTCGATTTCACATGCCATGCAGTCCCGCTACCAATATGCCATGTATAACGCCTGAACACACATTGCCGTGCAGTGCTATGCTCCCACGCTGAATCCAAAAGAACCGTCAAAGACGTCGAGCTTCCTCACGTCAGTCCCGCCTCGCAAGGCGAGCAAGATGTCAACCGAGGGGACCTTGTTGGCCGGGTAGAAGAGCAGGAGGTTGTCCATGTCTTCCTCGCTGAGGGTGCACATTTCCTCCCACTTGTACGAGTCGCTGACTTTGGACATCCTAAGCCCCGTCATGTAAGTATATGCAGATCGATGCGACATGGCCGAGCCGTCACTCACCAGCGCATCCGTTTGGGTCCGTCCTCGGGCCTGGGCGCAATCTTGCGAAGCTTGGTCCTCAGCTCCCCAATGATCTCGATTGCATTGCCGGCATTCTTGGGCAGCTGGCTGGCGATAAAGCGGCGTATGGAAGCGGCTAACCTGGGGCCCTTGCCGTTGGTGCTAACCATGATTTGCAATGGGCCGTCGCGGTGAACGCTGCCAAAGTAAAAGTCGCATTCGGGGGGCACATCTGCAATGTTGGCAGGCACTTTTTTCTCCTTGCACAGCTTCCAAACGGCCGTCGACGCCGCAGGGTCATCGATGGCAACGAGCACCATGTCGACACCATCGAGGTCCGACGGCTCAAAGACGCGGTCAACATGGGTGATTTGGTTCTCTGAGACTCGATGGGCGACTTCATCGTTTAGACCCGAGGTCGGGCAGACGACGGTGACGCGTGCATCGGCATTGAGGCAGTTGAGGATTCGACCGGCGGCGACCTGCAAAGGTCCTTGTCAGTAGAGAAGAGATGGGCGGCTGCAGTCTGCCTACTTCACCTCCGCCCACCACAAGGATCTTTTTGTCCTTGACTTGCCATGCAAGAATCAGGCTGCCGCCGGGTTGCACGTCTGGGAACTTCTTAGCCATGCCTCTGCGCGCGCGCGCGCCTGAGCAAAGAGCGGCAGAGGAGAGAGATGGGTGACGGCGCAAGAATGGATGCTGGAGGCTGGACCTTGTCTCTGGCGCTAGTGAATAGGTGACGACTCAGGTGTCTAATGGAGGCCCAAGGCAGAGTAGCCCAATGCACGGGCACAGTATCCTGCAATATGGGCCGTTATAAATATCCGTAGACACATAAGAATGATGGAAGGGCGGGGGGGGGAAGCACACCTCTGGGGAAGAGGATCCACCCGATAAGAGGACAGGGCGATAAGCTTTGGGGGTGCTGGGCGTTAAAGATGTACTTGTTTCCCACGATCTACAAAGAGCTTCCTGCCGTCTCTCACTAACGCTCGGTAGTTCTGGTGAGACGAGTGACCTGCTACACCTCGTCATACCGCAGTGGCACTGACACTCTTGCTCTCCTCGCCTCAACCCGGCAACAAAGGGTCATGCAGACGGGCCTCTCCGTGCAGCTCGAGGCGCCACGCGACCACCTCCGGTCGTCGTCTCGTCTATCCGAGTTGCTCCCACTCGTCTGCCACTCTCCCGCGCTCCAATGTCTGGCCGGAAGCTCGGAGGCGGCCGCATCTTCGGCACCGGCAAGGGCCTGGCTCCCCCGACACCTCCCTCGGCGCCCCGAGCCAGCAGCCCCTTTGCTCCCTCGGAGAGCACCGTGTCGCTTGGGACGCCATCGCTCTCGCCGCCTGCTAGCGGCAGTCTGCCGGACCTTGGCCCCGACATTGGCTCGAGCATCAGTGTTGGAGCCCAGGCCAAGCGTAGCGGCCAAGATGCGACAGGCCTCGTCTGCCCCATTTGCAACGAGGAAATGGTAGGCCGCGGTTTCCACTGTGCACTGCCTTGACGACTGACCTCAGCAGGTGACGCTCCTGCAACTAAATCAACACATTGACGATAATCACCGAGAACTCCCCGAGGAGGAACAGCACGAGGTCAAGACTTGGTTCGACAAGCAAGTCCTCAAGGCCAAGCGGTTCCAGCCTTTGACCCTGATCAACCAGAAGCTCCGCGGTCTCGAAGTTTTCGAATCAAACGAGTCGACTCCTGTCCCTCCACAGGCGAAGACGAGCGGCAGACCCACCCTCGACGAACCCATCGACCCGGATGACCTCATTACGCGCAGCCACTGGCAGCGGTCGACGAGCTACGACACTTGTACCGACCCTGCGTGTGGTCAGAGTCTCGGACCCATCAACGGCAGCATCAACTGCCGAAAATGTGGCCGGCTATTTTGCGAAGAGCACACCATGTATCAGATGAAGCTAAGCAGAAGCGCAAACCACGAACCCGTCCGCGGCTACTGGGCCAGGGTCTGCGAGACGTGCTATAAGTCGAGAGAGGGTTACAACGACCACACAGGCGTATCTATCGACCACATGGCCCTCTTCTCGGAGGTGAGGCGGAAAAAGGTTGAGCGGCAGAAACTGGAAACGTCGCGGTTAGAGAAGCGGTTGACCAAGCTGACAAGGTTATTGGCCGGGTCTTCCGACACCACCGTCTCTGCATCAAGCGGCTCGCTTTTAGGCCCAGTTTCGTCTTTGATTGGGCAAAAGGATTCGAGGAAGTTGCTAGAACAATCGGTCGTGCCCTGGGAAGAGGACGAAGTGGTACCCAAATGCCCGTTCTGCCAACAGGAGTTTGGGTCCTGGACGTTTAGGCGGCACCACTGTCGGATTTGTGGTCGCGTCGTCTGCGCGGATCCCAAGACAGCCTGCTCAACGGAAGTGAGCTTGGATGTCAACAGCGGTACGTGATGGCGATGGCCGGCATGGTCTCCAACGCTAATTCCGAGCAGCAGTATGCCCAAATTCCGAAAAGATCCAAGCAAACGATGGTATCGATCCGCTTCGCATCGACATTCGGATGTGCAGAGATTGCAACCACACCATCTTTTCCCATCGCGACTTCGCCGCGTCCATTCAGCACCGAGCCCCGGATCAAAAGGCCTACGAGACTCTGTGCCAGTTCGAAAGGGGCATCGGTCTGCTTCTCCCCTCCTTTCAGCGGGTACTCCTTGCTTTGCAGCCAGAGAAGTTGAGCAACGGGGAAGTCGACTTGACCAAGCCCCCACCCACTCACGCGCAGATACAGGAGGCCAGCAAGATACGCAAGCGGCTCATTGACAGCTTCGGCAAGTACGGGGCGGCGGCCAAGGGGATGCGCAGCCTCAAGACGGACAGCCCGACGCAAAAGAGACTGCAGGAAGCGGTCTACATGTACGCCAGCGGGTTCCTGCACACGCACATGCTCCCCCTCAAGAGCCTGCCGCAGATGCTGCGCGCGCACTCGACGTCGGCGCGCTTCCTCGCGACGCCGACGCACTCGTCGTCGAGCCTACGGCACACGGAGGTCGTGGGCGGCTCCGACGACGCGGGCTCCCAGGCGCCGAGCGAGGCGAGCACCGTCGTCAGCCAACTTGAGTCAGAGGAGAGGGAGTTCAGGGAACGCCTCGCGGTGCTGCAGGAGCAGAAGCTCATGGTGCAGGACATGATGAGCATGGCAAAGGGCGCCCGGCGCTTCGAGGAGGTGAGCGCCCTGGCCCGCAACGTCGACGAGCTCGATGGCGAGATTGGCCAGCTGAGCAGGAAAGTCGGCGAGGTGGAGCAGCGCTGGGAGGGCGTGTATCGCAATGGCGCGCCGGCCTGACCCAGCAGCCGCCTTCTTTCTACCTACTGTGAATCCAAACGAGGAGTGTTTGCCGCGTCGACCATGGCGGCGTAAGAAAAGGGGGGGGTAGGGGGGCATACTCGATGGCATTGCATGGCGTTGGGGCCGGGGCTCGGCGCGGGTTCACCAATTATCTTCTGCGAGGGGTCTGTCTTACATCTCCCCGTATTCATCGACGTGATCTTAGATCTGCCAATGTGCGATCGGAATAAATCGAGGCAATACGCTCTCCGGCGTTGATAGTCCCCTTCCACATCAAATGCTCTTGGTCGTTCATGTTGCTTCTCTTTGCGCATATATCTATACGAATATGTCCTGAAGACGAACCTTCCAGTGACAGGCGGAATCAACTCTCTTTGCGGAACGGGCGTTGTGCACACCCCCCGGCAACCGATGTCATAATGCCATCCACTCAAACCCAAGGAGCAGATGCCCTCAGCACATCAGCCTGGCCACAGCCAAAAGAGCCGAATGACCGTAATATAAACAAGTATGCACCGAGGATATAGCCAGAATGGCAGTTATAGAAAAAAGAGAGCAGGAAAAACAACCGTCCAAGAGAGACCCGCGACTCCCTAGCGAAGATGCTATCGCGATGCTCCAGTGACGCCAGAGATCAAACAGGGGTATTAAAGCAACAAGTCGTAGAAAAAGCTGGCCAGCATCGTCAACGGCCAGCGAATCACGGCCGTAGTCATCACTAATGAACCACGCCCTCGACGCCGCCGAGGAACCTCCTCACTCGCCCAATGTCGAGTTCGTCCCGCTCGCTTTCCACCGCCTTGAGGAGGCCGTCTACCACGGCGTCCACCTCGCTCTCCTGCACGCCGGTGCACAGGGCCACCACGTGGCGGTACTTGATCTCCACGTCGCGACTCCTGCCCTTGAGAGCCTGCACCATCTTACGCGTCACGTCGCGGCGCCCCTCGATGGCTCGGATGCGGGCCCGTAGGACAGCTCCAGAGGGCAGCATTCCTTCGCTGCGGTACCCTCCGCCTGGTGCTGCCGACGACTCCTCGGCGGCCTCGAGCATGGCGGAGAGTTCTGTTTCCCACGTCGTGGATGGATTCGGTTGCGAGGATCTCGACTGCTCGTTCATCAAGCTAACCTGCTCATCCTCGCGCGCATGAGCGAGATTCGAAATCTTTTGTCGGGCCAACTGCTGCTTCTTGAGATTCGCGGTGAGGTGGTCGAGGGTGCGGCGGGCCTCGCCGAGTTGGGTCGAGGTTGTCCGAAGTGTGGCGTGGAGGGAATCCAGCGAGACTTGCTTGGATTTCATTTCTTGCTGGAAGGCGGCGCCCGTCTCATTCAGCAGGTGTGTTATGGCTGCTCAAGATCAGTACAAACTCGGCGAAGCCGCCTCTTGGTAGGCGGTGACTCACAGGCTATGATCTCTTCGCCGCTCTCCCGGGTGCGTTGGCTCGATCCAGACGTTCCGTTGGTTTCGACGATTGCGTCCCCGTTGATTTCATCCTCGGCATTCTCGCCTCCGATGCCAAAGTCGACGGGCCTCAGGCCGACGCGGTTGGCGATGTTGGGGTCGGCGCCCACTTCCAGGAGCTGTGAGATGATGCTTCGGTTTCCGATTCGTGCCGCTATATTCAAGGCCGTGTCGCCGGACCCGTCTTGGGCATTGACAATCTCGGACATGAAGCGCGCGATGCCCATCTTGGGAATGGCCGATTGCGAGCTGCCCATGAAGTTGCCATTGGCCTGCGTGCTCTGGCTGTTGGGAACGCTGCCTTGCCGGACCACCCATTCGAGGAGGCTTTCGAGGTAGTATCGGCTGGCCGCGTTGCGACCCTTGACGGCACTGGTGACGGCAATGTGGTGAAGAACGGTCCGGCCCTTGTGATCGCGCGCTTCGATGGTCCCGCCAAGCACCTCGAGCAGGTCCGGGAACGATCCGTGGTCCATGGAGTTGGTGACGAGACAGGCTCGCATAAGCGCCGTTTCTCCAGAAGCGTTGACGCGATACGGGGAGGCTCCCGCAGCAATGAGCGCACGGAGTAGCGGCATCCGCGCCAGAGTAGCCGCCCAATGCAAGGCGGTGTGACTTTGCGGGTCAATGGGCATGTCGAGCTCGGCAGGGGCCAGGGTCCGGAGCATGTCGTGCTTGGAGACGTCCGACGCCGTCGAGTCCATGAAGAGGCCCATGAGCATACTGCGCTTGGTCTCCACGTCGGACGACATCTCGTAAGGGAGAGGGGGAAGAGGCCCATTGGGGTCCTCGCCCGGGGAGTGAGGGTTGACGGAGGCACCCTGGGTGTAGATGAAGGATTCGTTGGGCTCTGTGGGAGACCCTGGGAAGGCGGGGGCGTACATATCCATGCTCTGGCTGTAGCCTCCGAAGCTGTCAGCAGGCGTCATGGTGACGCGCTGTCGCTTCCGAGGAGGCTCGTTGTCGGGCATGGCTGCTGCGCCGGCGCCTTGCTGCTGGGTCGAGTAGGCAGAATCGACCTGTTGGCCGTAGTCGGAGGCGTAACTCTGCTGGGAATTGGCGGGAAAGTCGTCGCCGTTCTGCATCGAGGGCTGTCGGCTAAAGCTGGGTGCTCGCGAGGGTCCGTTGCGACTTCTGGGGCCGGGCGAGTCGAAGCGAGCCTTGCTGATGGCCGCCACGGCATGGGAAGCAGTGCTCGAGATGTTCTTGAAAAAGGTGCCCGACAGGCCGTTGGGCCTCCCATCGACGCTCGAGTTGTACATGCGCTTCCGCTGGGCGGCCATGGCTTGCTCTTTGGTCGGGGTGTTGAAGTCGCCTCTGCCGGCGATGCCTCCGTCCTGGCCCATGTCATAGGTCAAGAGAGGACGAAGCAGCTCCTCGACACCGTACTGCCGGCAGAGCTCGACACCGCGATCAAACTTGATCCAGGTGCCCTGGTACTTGCCGTAGCCGCCTTGTACCTTTTCGTGCTCGCCGGTTTGGATCTCCTTTTCGAGAATCTTTGTTCGCTTGCCCTTGTCGACGCCGGCAACCTTGAGTACCTGGGTGGCGTTGAGCCACGAGTCCTGGCGACGGCGCATAACGGCGACGTTGTTGACCTCCATTTCGTAGACGTCGACACCGGAGTATAAGGCCTGGGCATGTGTCAATGGCGAGTTTTCGGGCGGTTGTAGGGGCAACGTACCGAATAGATCTTGTAGTCATGGTGGAACGAGGCCGCGTGCCTGGGCTGCGATTGCTGGCTCATGGTGAAGGGCTGCGGCGATGGCTGGGATGCAGAGGGCATCCTGGACATGCGCAGAACGAAGAGGAGGGCGGTCGGCAGCCGAGTCGCTGCGACGGCACGACGGTTCTTGCCAGCTGGCTCGGCAGACTGTCGGGATCAAGCAAGTCAAGCCGGCCTTTTTTGCTTTGTCGCGAGCAGCAGTCGGAAGATGACTGAAAGTCAAGATGCAAGTGGAAAGCAAGCGGGCATGGATGTGGGTTGCAAAGCAAGGTAAGCCACGCGGTGCCCCTCTGTCAAGCAAGCGCGAGGGGGAGGAGGCTTGATCGAATGAAAAGGCAAAAGGAAAAAGGCGCTGAGACAAAGGGAGCTCCGACGCGCGTTGGAGGACTGTTGCCTCCCCTCGCGTGTATTTTCTCTCTTCGAAATCAAGAGGGAAAAATACCAAGAGGAGAGCGGGCTCGAGAGATGACGCGGTGATGACGCTTCTCCACGGGACGGCGTCGAGGGGCGAGAATTGCACCGGCAGAAATGGCCTGCGCGCAGTCCGGAGAGGAAGCTGTGGGATTACGACGATGTGCGCGCGCGGGCTGGCCTTGGAATGCCGCAATTCAATTACATCAAGACGTGTCGGTTTCGTGCTTTCTTCGTGTTGCGTCGTGTCGTGCGGAGTCTGGGAAGTGGGGCTTGAACCCCCAGCCTCCAGCGCTTGGCCGCGAGCGGGGTTTCAGCATCAAAATAGAGAGGTACTCGATCTTATTTACCGGATTCCGCACATGTCCATGTACCGCAGTATCTCCAGCCACGCTGCAGTGCATTCCGGCCCATTGGGCATCCAGGCCGCTCGGTGATGTGCCAGGAAATGCGCAGCTGCAGGAAAGAGACAGTCAATCATGCCAATGTGAATACCCCCATCCTCTCAAGCCTCTCACTGGCTGCGCACTCGCCTAAATGTCTGTCCTTTTCCAACATCAAATTGCCGATTCTAACCAGGCTGGTTCCCTTACGTAAGACGAAAGCTGTCGAGTACCTAGGTACATACATCGTCGTTGCGAAGGCTGTCTTTTTTCGGCTTTCAAGGGATCAGTCAAGACATTGCTGCCATCTTCCCGGGATGCACCGCATCACTCACACAATAGCCACTGACAGCGTGGCCAGTCGGCAATATCGCTAAACCCCTTACCAAGTCCCTCCCCCGAGACCGCCGCAATGCCTCCGCCGTGGCACCCCCTCCCGTCCTCCCTCCCGCCCGTCCACCTCTACCGCCATCTCCTCCGCGAGCTGTCTTATTTGCCTCCGGCCTTCCGAGCCACAATCGAATCTACCATTCGCGAGAGATTCCACAGGCATCGTCGATATGATCCTCGAGCCAAGGCCCATCTTTCCCGAGCAATGGCGGTCCTGCGGACGCTCAGAGCCGCCAACAGCGGGGACCAAGATGCCATGCAGGGCCTGATCTCCAAAGCGTTCGCGAGGTCCGGCGTCCGCAGACGGGAGCTACTATCTCAGCTCCTCAAACCCCAAGGGCCTGATGACTCGCAGGCCCTCGAAAAATTTCTGGCCGATGGCAGTCCACCCAGTTCCCAGGCCATGGAGGAGCAGCCCAGGAAGCTCAAGCATGCGTTTCTCGAAAAATGGGATCACCCCAAGCTACTACAAATTCTCAAGTCTCAAAAGCAGCAGCAGGGTCAAACCAAGAATACGAGCAGTTGGCCTGGCAGCCCGGTCAAGGGCGTCGATGACACCCAGTTTGTACCCAAACGCGACATATGGGGCAAGCCTCCGACCGAGATCCTCGTCCGAGCAAGGCGAGCCCGCTGGTGGAAACTGGCTGTCGACCGCATCATGCCCCCCCTCGGCCGAGGTGAGTGGGATTTACTTGGCCGGCTAAGTGCTGGCACTCAAAAGGATGCAGAGTGGGCTATCCCCGAGAGGAGACAACCCGTCCACGCGCTCGTTGTGCAGGACAAAGACGCATCACCTAGCTGGGATTGGAAAACCTATGCCACGCAGCCCGCATGTGTAGCTGAGAAGCCCAAGTCGCTGTTCAACCAGCGACGGTCTGGACAGAGGGACAGTGGGCCGCATGCTCTGCGAGAACGCGTTTCGACGATATCGCCCCGCTGGTTCCGAAGGGCTTACAACCGGACGTGGCAGTTGACTCCGACCATGAGCCAGGACCCAAACACGCTCAAGTACTCGTTTAAATGGGGTCAGGCTCCGTCGAGAATACCGTCGGCGAGGAGCGCACAGCTCGAGATTTTCCAAGGCGTCGATGGACGAGGCCGTAAGACAAGCAAGGGCTCGGCAACTTGAAGAGGCCACTCTATTCAACTGTTTGTATGCCTTGTCCGACGCAGCTGGGCGGCATCTAATCCAGGAGATGGGCGAGCTTGTCCAGCGCAGGGCCGTCGACTCGCATCCCCACCCACTCGGTCATGGCCGTGGCGCCGATGCTCTGGTAAAAATTGATGCTCGGCTCGTTCCATTTCAAAACGGCCCATTCGAGCCGGCCACCGTTGCTGGCGACGACCTGCTTGGCCAACTCGACGAGCAGGCGCTTGCCGTAGCCTTTGCCGCGCTCCGAGGGCTGGACAAAGAGGTCCTCGAGATAGATGCCGTGCCTGGATCGCCAGGTGCTGTAGTTGTAGAAATACAGCGCCATGCCGACGGCCTTGCCCTCGGGGGCGAAGAGCAGCAAGCAGCGTGCGGGGCGAGATGGCGAGGTCGGCTCGGTGTTGGGCGCGGAGGGCGAGTCGGAACTGCCGTCGTCGGGTGCGAAGGCGATGGTGTCAAGGAGCGACTCGACGGTGGCCTCGACGGCGTCGGACTCCTTTTCGTAGTCGGCCAATGCTTGGATGAGCTCCAAGATGGCCGGGGCATCTGCCAGGCAGGACTCGGAGTCAATCGATGGTGCAAGATGGGACCGTCATGAGGCCATACCTTGGCGCCGGGCGTGCCGCACAGTAGCGCTTGAGGAGGGCATAGTGTCTGTCTGGATGATATGCCCTTTGGCAGTTTGATTCTCTATGAATTTTCTATGGTGTTGCGAACAATCATATATGTGTGTGTAATGAGTCTGAGATTGCGGGGCAAGCTGAGGGGGGCGAGCATCGGAGCTTCGATCTTGCGACGGATGGGTCCCTTTTTCGGCCTCGCAGGACACAAGGTGACTCGCCCCAGGCAACCCATTATAGTTAAAGGCCCACTTTCACCCCTTGATCGCCTCAACCGTCCAAGGCGCTCATCAACCGCCAAAAGTCTTCAGGCATCGCTTCATTGGCTGCCAGGACCGGCAGCGGCAACGAGTCGGCCGTGCCAGGGAGGTGCTGGAAGACGAGGTCGTGCAGCGGCTGCGGCGGCAGAAGAGCATCGAGGCTGTGCGTGAACCCCAGTGCCTCGGACGCATGGTCATGTCCGTGGTGGGGGATCGGAGCCTCGTGCGGAGACAACGTCGCCGGCGTCGGCGCGGAGCCGCTTGGTCGAACCGGGCCTGAAGCCGAACCGGGTCCAAGAGTCGCCGACAGCGAACACATCGCCGCCCTTGTTGCCGGCACCGCCGCGCCGGCAAGTCGACGCCGGAACCTCCCGTACATGGTCTGGGCCGTGTCAAAGGCCGAGCCGGCCATCTTGTTTCTCACGCGCATGGCGTCGAGCCGGGCCAGCCCCCACTCGATGCCGCGGACCGAGGCGTCGACGTGGAGCGCGTTTTCGTGCGGGTACAGGATGTATATGGACGCGACTAGGACCATGGCGTCGAACGTGGCAAAGACGAGGTTAAAGGTCACGTACTCGCGCGGCTTGGTCTGGCTAAATAGCCGACCCTGCGACTCCAGAATCTGCAGCGCCGCCTTGAGAGCCTCGTTGCGGCTCGCGGGCACCGAGAAGATGTACGGGCGGTGCAGGGCCAGCAGCACAAAACACAGCTCCGTCTCGAGCGTCTCGCGCGCGGCCGACAGCCAGAAACAGCTCGGCACGCGGTCCCAGTCCGTATTGGGGTGGTCGACTCGCGCCCAGTCCGGCAGGCGGCGCATGCTGTCGACGATGGCGGCGTGGATCTTCTGGACCATTGGATACCTCTCTTGCGATGCGCCCGCCGACTCGAGCTTGTGGATGTCCTGCAGATGGTGGCCCGCGGCGTGGTACAGCCACCACAGCACGGCAAAGGGCGTGGGCTGGTGCCGCTCCACCCAGAGGCGCTCGTCGTCTCCCGTCACGGCCGCCTTCATACCGTAGATGGAGTCGAGGGACTGGGCAAAGGCGCCGTGGTCCAGCTTGGTCGACATGGGCCGCCCGAGCACGACGCCCATGTATCCGTCCCACAGATGCAGGACCAGCCACATCTTGCGCCGCGTCTCGAGCTCCCGCAGCTGCTCGGGCGAGCTCATAGCCAGGTCTTCGGGGCTGATGTCGATGCAGTGCAGGCCCATCTCCTGGGCGTCCCTGATGGTGCTGCCCAACGAGTGCCACGCCTCGATGATGGAGCCCGTGCTCCTCTGGAACGAGACCTGTAGCAAACCCGCGTGCACCTTGACCATGTTGGAGTCTCTGCTGCCCAGCATCGCCATTATGGTGTTGCCCGCGTCGCTGTACTCCATGGCCAGGTCAGGATACGTCATCCCGGGCGCGTACTTGAGGTCGTTGAGGGCATCGTTGCTGCCCATGGGCTGGAATAGCAGCGCCTGCGCGAGTACCTGGAACAGCAGCGCTGGGAAGAGGCGTATCTCGGGCGGCATGCTCAGGGGCCCGTGGCTGAGCGTCGTGTACGGAACGCGATACCAGCAGGCCAACTGCTCTTCAAAGCCCCCCGAGTCCAGAACATCATAGTGCCACGCAGTGTTGACAAAGAAACTACGCACGAGTATGTCGGCGTATCTCTTTGGCGGGAGCTGGCGCACCACGTTTCTGTACTGCAGCGACATGTCGCTCCCGCTGCGCGCCTCCCTCGTCGTCCTCGGCTCCCGCGTCGACTGGGCGGCCGACGAGGCGCTGGCGTGCTGCTCCGACCCTGTAATCTGCCGGATGAAATTCAGCGTGTCGGTGCTGGTTATCGAGAAGCCGAGGTCTTCGGCCGCGTTCTGGTGAGCGACGGCGGCGGCGGCGGCGGCGGTGGTGGTTGGCGAGACGATCGTTTGCGACTGCGAGGCCGGCGAATTGTCGACGGACGACGAGCCGCCGGGCTGCGGCATCAAGGCACGGGCCCCTACAGACATGGAAATGGAGTCTGACGCTGGGCTTGCTCGAGCCGGCTCCGGCTCCTGGTTCTCGTAGAAGCAAAGGTGCTGGAAGGATTCGTTGTCACCAAGCGAACATTAACGTACCCGTGTACGCCGCCATGGACTCACCGGCTCCTGGTTCTCGTAGAAGCAAAGGTGCTGGAAGGATTCGTTGTCACCAAGCGAACATTAACGTACCCGTGTACGCCGCCATGGACTCACCACCTTGTCTCGTTTGGTGCAGTTGGAGCACGGTTGGCGACGGTCACACTGTCCAATGCGACCCCATCCGCCGTCAGCAAATGATATGTTGGAAAACGAGCAGGTCGGGAGGCGAGAAGGAGAGAGACGTAGAGAGGAAAGCCTCACTCTCTGCTTGCGCCGGTGGCACTCGTTGCAAGAAATCACCATCCTCTTGCGCCTCTGCTGCGGCTGGGGCATGTTGCCCGTGCCGGGCTCCGAAGAGTAATCCGCGTACATGGTGTGCTATGGTCCTGTGTAACTTGGCGGGTCAAGATTGCATTTTGCTCCTCACCAGCAGCAAGAGGCATCTGAAGTCAGGAGCCGTAAAAGACGCGGCGGGACCGAGGCCTGGTGGTTGCAGAACACACGGTGATCCGGCTTTGATCAGCTTCCCCCCTTTACCTCCCCTCCCTCCCTGTTCAAGGTTCAAACGTGTTTAAACGTCTTGGAGATCCCTCAGCCTATTCCGGGCTGAACAGATGAAGACGGGCTATTTCCTTTTTGTTGGTCTGGGGCTGCCCAAGCTCTGCTGTCAGTTGCCATGACTCCGGCCTGGTCGGGATGCCCGTTGCGATACGTCGTGTTCCAGGCTCCCACACCTGTCACGAGCTGAACAGCCCATTTCGTAGACGGGGAAGATTGTCATTACATACACGGGGTGTGTAGCCTCGGCCTGTACAACAGGGTAAAGTACAGACATTGGCCCGCGAGTTGCCCAGCTGACAAGCGTTATCCCGAGATTAAAGCTACGAGTATGGGGGTGGCAGGTTTTGCTGCTGGAACTCTTTTGAGCACGCCACATCACGCTGTTGCAGATTTCCGGGGCCCCTGATCAACCCTTGCTTAGGAATCCGAGCCTCTTGTGTGAGTCTACTGCTTTCACCGCATCCGCATTCGGCCGATTTACCATGTTGACAAGCCCTCAGCTCAGACGCTGGCGTCTCGTTTTGACAACGCCCGGTCTGGTTACACGGCCAATACTTCGTATAATTTCGCATGCTCAAATCAAGCCGCAATGTCATCCATGTTGCGGTCGACAATGTCCGGCTGCTCATGGTGTTGAAGTGCGACACCTTGATATTCCTGGTAAGCTGCTTCTTGCTGCTCGAGATGGACTCATAGTGCCGTCTCGCCGCAAACGAGTTCATGCAGCCGTGTCCATGGATTATCAGAGCCGCTTTGGTCAGGCTGCCTCTGGGGGGGTTGTGTAACTGAAGCGCTCAAGGTCGCTTACGACAGCATACCGATTCTCGAACCCCTTGGGCGTATAAGGGCTGTACCGCGACCCGGTCAACGGGCCAGGCAGACCCGCCAGCGAGCCCACGGATGAGTCGGCAGCCCTGGAGTCGACCAGACGATGGTATACAAGCTCTCCCTTCTTGCCGTACAGCTCTCGGGCCTCCTTGGCTCGTTCCATACGCGCCTTTGTATACGGCTTCGCGCTGCTCTGCAGTTGTACCTGTCAGGGATAGACCCAGGGCTCCGGTTTAAGACAACCGACACAAATCACTCACACGTCCCTCTCGGGGTCACGAAAGTAGCCCTCCTCAGCCATTTTTGTCGCATACTGCTTCGGAGCCTGGCCCTTGACGGAGCAATAGGGGCCGATGACGACCAGGCTCATGGGGTTCGGAACGTTGATAGACTCGTAGAGGACTCCGGCAATGGTTTCCTCTTGGGAGGGATGGGTCCTCTTTTCGGTGGCGTCCTGGCCGTGATGCACCATGTTACATAGAGGCAGATTATTGGAAAATCAACGGGATGGGTATTGAGACAGGACAGGCTTAGTGGAATGCAGATTTACGAAGCGCTGAGCATCTGGGTTGAAAGTTGGATGAAAGATTACGAACGACGACAGATCGTAGAGAGCGAAAGCTCGTATTATATAGCTGTTTCTACAAGCTGAGCTGAATGAAGGCCTCTGTCCATGCGTCGGCGATGATATGACGATGATTTGACACCTCGGCGACCATGTTACCAGGGCCTCTCTTTCACCAGCAACCCTACAGCTCACGTAAGGCAATGAACAATGTTGGTTGTAGGGCAAGAGCAAGCCCGCGGATCGTCAGACAACCTCAACACGCGGGGACTTCCCACCCATCTTCGGCGATGAGCCAGGGCGCCAGAGTTTCCAACACGCTGCCACTTTGACTCCGTCTTTCGGAGATACGGACCCCACAGTTTCGGGGACGCGCCCCGGTGTTTTCGGCGACATAGCCTCGCAGGGCTTGACAGGGGCTTCCCCTGCTCGGTCCAATTCGGCAGCCTGCCGGGGCTACCACCAGGCTTGAACTGATGAAAACTACGGGACGTATTCGAGCCTGGTCCGGGAGGTAGTCCTCGATGCCCGCGGGGACGATGGAAAAGGCTCGCGGGATTAGGGGAGTGGGCGTGGTGATGATTTTCATACATGTTAAGTCTAGAAAGCGCTGTTGAGCCCATCGGATCGAGAGGGAGGTGCCGCCGCCTTAGGAGTATAAAGATAAGACTAGCCTTAGCCGACTAAGTAGATACCCTTACTTAGCCGGCCTAAAGTATCTTAGCTGATTAAGCGACGTATATTGCTCTATAGCTTAACGTTATCTTATAAATATATAGTATATATAAAAGTAATTAAGGGCAATAAATTAGTATTATAAATATATATCTACTACTAGTATAATAGCCTAATATTATTTTAAGTTAGTAAGCTAAGTAATAACGAAATAAATTTAGGTTTAGATATATTTAATTAATAAAGATAAAAGGATTTTAATAGGATAATTAGATCTTAGTTTAATTAAAGAACTATAAGTATTTAAGGAGTAAGAAGTATATACTTTACTAAATAAAAGTAAAGCTAAAGTAATAAAATAGCCCCTAAAAATACTAAAATACTAAGAGACTAGATCTTATAGTAATTTTAATACTTAGCTAATTTATATTTAAACTAAGAACTAAGACTATAGTTAAAAAAAAGTATTATAAGTTATTAAGTTTTTATATTAAGAAGGAAAGTATAAATTACGCTATCTTACTTAAAAAAAAAGGAGTTTATAAGTATAACTATATAAATATATATAAAGGATAAAGTAAAATAAATTTCCTTATTAATTTAATAGCTTATAGTTATCTAGATTTATTAAGTAACTTCTTAAATATCCTATTAAATAACTACTATATTTAGTACCTCTAGATATAGTAATAGTATTATCTTTACTTTAAAGGATAAAGAGCGCGCTTATTAATATATATAAGTATACGCTTAACCTTTAATTACTATATAGTAGTTTATTATTACTAATTATTAAGTCTTTATATTAAAGAAAGAAGTATAAATTATACTATCTTACTTAAAGAAGGAGTTTATAAGTATAACTATATATATATATATATATAAAGTATAAAGGAAAATAAGTTTCCTTATTAATCTAAAAGTATTATATACTAGTCCCTTATTATAAGGCTAGTAGTTAACCTTACTATTTACTTAGATTAAGTATAAGTTAAATAGGTAAATAAATAAACTTCTCGCGAAGAGAGATACGAGAAGTGCATAAAAATACACGAAGGTAAAATTAGAAGTAAGGGGTCGGACAGGCAGGGCAGAGATATTTGATTCTTACGGGGGCAGCAATAGAGGTAGGGGAGTAATTGTTATATTGCCTTGATTATCCTTCTTTCCTCTATCCAACGCCCCTCTTTATACACGTCTAGCATCTTAATTAACAAAGAAGATTCTGCTTAAAGAAGCTACTAATGTCCTTTTAACTACCGAGCTTTTTGCCCGTTTTTCCTTCTTTTCTAGCCGTTGCCGGCATATCCGTCTTATCTCTCGCTACCTCTATAGGAAGCCATCGCTACTTCTGCTTCCCCTCTTGCCCCTACCCTCCTCTCTATACCTCCTTTTAGCTCCTTCCTTAAAACCTATTTTTCAGCTTCCTTGGTCCCTCTTACTAAGGGATATCTCTAAGAACTACGAAATCAAGCTACGCTTCGCGATAAAACTAGCTATAAAACATACTTAAAAAATATTATTATTATAAAGTATAGCTTAATTTTATAGGTCTTAGAGATATTACTTAGTAAGAAGGATCTAAGAATATAAGGGAATATATATTATAGTATAATTAATTAAGTAGTAAAGATAGCTATAGGTACTACGCTATATATATTATATTCTCCTTATTATAAGACTAAAGCTTATAAGAAAAGGGATTTTTCTTTTTTAGTTAAAGTAGTAAGTAGTCTATAACTTATAAGTAAGGTAAGTATAATTCCTTACTAATACCCTACTAATATATTAGTACTATATACCTAAGGGCTTTATTAGCCTATACCTCTTAATAGCGCTCTTATAATTATCTCCCCTCTTATATAGACGTCTTAGCTATATCTTTAATATATATTACTTTCGCTATACTATATATATTTAGTTAGAAAGAGAAGTAGTTTTAGTTATATATCGCGCGTATATACCTATATAAGTATATATTAGTCTACGCTCTATAATATTAATAGTTATTATACTAGCGGTTACTATTAAGTAACTATTATAGTATCGCCTATATATCGGCTATATAACTATAATATAAAGAGTATATATATATATATCTCTTACTTCTTTTATTTTATTTTCTTCTTTAACTCTTCTACTTATAATTACTATAAAGTATATACCTTTTTTTATTAATCCCTTATACCTTTTTATATTATATTTTATTAATAATTTATTAATAATAATACCTTTTACTTTATAATAAATAAAGAACTATAACGCTAAATTCCTATACTATATATAAGAGTAGGTAGCGGAGGGTTTACGCTTAAAGTATAAGCGATCGGCTTAAAAGTCTCGCGGTAACGCTAGTTTCTCTTTAATAAAGAAAGCTAAGAAAGGTATAAAGGAATCTTAGTCTTAAGAGACTCTTAGTCTAGGACCTAATATTAGCAAGGGTTATATCCTTATTACCCTATTAAATACCCTAACTTTAATAACTAATAAGCTTACCTTTATAGGCTAAGAAACTTATAAGTCTATTTATTACGGAGTAGGCAGAGGCGTATACGTAGGTGCCGCCCGTAGGATAATATTAATAAGCTATATAGAGCTCTTCTATACGCGGCTAGCCCGCCCCTATATATACGGGATCCGGCCCTCCGCACGTAACTACACGGCTTAGGCCGCGGCCTAAGCCTATTACCTATAATAGTTAAAGACTCTTATATAATGCCCTCCCTTAAGCGCGGCGCGGCGCTGCCCTATTAACGGCTCCTATATAATTAGGCCTATGCCGCGGGCTCTTCCCTGCCCTTTCCCGTTAATAGGGCCGGCCCTACTAGCCCTATTATCCCCGCGCTCGTTAGCCCGGGCAGCCGGGACCTAGCTCTATACTTATCGGCCGGGTGGCCGTTTAAATAGGGGCGTAACCTATTATATACGCCCCTAGGTAGCCGGCGGCTAGTCTAGACCTACGTAAGCCTTAGGTTGCCCGTTCCCTCTACCTTAGGTAGTATCCTCTACTAAGGGGTATATAAGGCGGCATCCCCCCCTTCCCCCTTCCCTTCCTTCTCTCCCTTCTTTACCTATAGTAGTAGCATTAATAGGTAAGTTCCGCTCTACCTAGGGCGTTAGTCTATTCCTAGCTATATAGGCCGCTCTATTAACGTATACTTATAGTAGTAGCAGTAGTAGTAATAATAGCCCTAATAATAATAATAACTCTAACTAGTAAGTTCCGCGCCCTATAGAGCGGGAGGCCGTATTCCGTCGTGCTAACTTCCGCGATAGATATATCTGCCTCTCCCTCTCCTACCTCCTCTTTCTTAGAGCGTACGGAGTCGTTCGTCGACGCCGTGCTAGCCGCGGCCGACGACGACTCCGCCGCTGCCGCCGCTCCTGCCCGCGCCGCTACCACCGCTCCTACCGCCGCCGCCGCCGCCTCTACTACGCTATTCGCACTTACGTCGCCCCTTAGGGTAACGACGCCGTCCCCGCCGCTACCCGTAACGCCCGGCCCCTCGGCCCCCGCCTCCGTCTCCGCTACCCCTATAAGTCCGTAGTTAGGTAAGCGTAATAGACGTTATCCGCTAACCTCCTATAGCATAAGCGCTAAGTATAGGCCGGCGCCGCCCGCTCGGCCCCTTATATACGTTATACGTTATAGGAGCTCGACTACTCCGACTAGGCCGGGCGCCGCCGCGGCGGCAGCTACTACTAGTGCGCGCGCGCTAGCCGCGCTTATAAGGCGGCGCCTCCCGTCCTGCTCGCTACGGCGTCGGCTTAGAAGGCCGGCTCGCACGGGTAGGCGCGGGGGGCTACTAAGAAGCGCCTTACCGCCGCCGCCGCCGCCTACCGTAACCTCCGCGCCCTCGAGCGATAGGGCCTTATACCTAAGTAAGTCCTTACTCCTCCGCTCCCTTATTTCTACCTCTAATATACCCGGCGCTAGGGATACTACCTCCGTTGCCCTATCGGCGGTCCCCTTATCCGTGCCCGCCTCCGCTACCGCCGCTGCCCCTGCCGCCGCCGCTAGCCGCCGCCCCTCTACCCCCGGAGCCGCCGCCGCCGCCGACTAGCTTACGGGCTTAGAGGGCCGCCTTAGCGCCCTAGAGACTGCCGCCGCCGCTAATAAGAAGGAGGAGGCCGATAAGGACGATAATAACGAAGATAATAATAATAATAACGATAAAGAATAGGCCCGGGTAGTCTAAGGGCTCCGCCCTATAATAAACGCTATTTTTATC